AAACTTGGCTGCTAAATATTCTTGTATTTTAGTTTTTAACCTGAGTTGTTAAAAATATTTCTAAAAGTTTAACTATAGCATTTAAAAAGCAAAAATTATAGAAGTCTTTAAGTTAAATTTGCTACCACAACTTATAAAATTTAATATAGTATAAGGAGTTACTTGAGGAAAAGTAACGTTTAAGTTTGGGAGAATTGATCCACCTAAAAATAACATGTTCTTAGTGCATATTTTATAAGCATTATATATATATTTTTTTGATGATATTGCACTTTAAAGGAAGATATTGGTTTCATGTACCTGGAATGGACATTTATAGAAAATGAGGGAAAAATGGAGCAAAAATGGGTAAATATAGGTGGCGCTAATAGCACTAGACTCCAGCCAGAGGGGTGCAATACCACCCCAGACTGGCACTATAACGCCAGAAACTACCTTTCTAAAAGATCCATTGAATTTGACCGAATTTTGGAGGGGTGTTTGAACCAACCCTTGGTTATTTTATATTAAATGAGAAGGATTTGACCAAATTTAGAGACCTTTCAGAGCCTCAAATCACCAATTAGGTGGCAATAGTTAATTAGGGTTTTCTTATTTTGTGTTTAAGTGAAAGTGTGAGTGTGTTTTAATGTGTAATAGTTTGGTGATTGCTTAAAGGAAACTCTAGAAGTTTACTTAGGGGGAGAAAAAAATAAGTTACTTTGTATTTGTGTTTAAGTTTTTGTTGTAAGACTTGGATTTCAATGCAAATATATTATTTTTGTTTAATCTCCATGAATTCTGAGTCGTTCCCTTTCTTTCTTCTTGGAAATGGGAATTAATCTTGTGGGATGAGAATGGTTCAAAGATTTCTTTTTACTCTTAAAAATTGTGATGGTATTTTCACCGAATCTTCAGTTACTTTACAAACTGGCCACTTGTGAGATTAAAATCTGTTGAGAAACATAATGACTTGGGAGGACTATGATTTCACCCAACTAGTGGATACCACACTTCATTCTAGGAAGAGCCATGACGATCACCTAAGGGGGAGTGCAAATAAATTGGGAGATAAGTTTTGATGGGCGTAGAATTAGTTAGTTCTAGAGTGACAGGCCATATTCTTATCAATTTGACTTAAGTTTTAGTACCATGACACTGAGATTCAGCCATCATAATGGCATAAGCTTAGGGGAATCTAGAGGTGAGAGGCTAGATAGTTCTGATGCGGAATTGAGATGTTAAGGAATCGACCTTAAGTTAGCCAATTTTCTTTGCCAACATCGGGAGGGGGTAAAGATTAAGGCATGCTTCTATTTGTCACAATACATTAATTTTGTCTTAAGTCACTTGCCTCCTATATAGTTTAAAATCTCTTTGCAAGGGGAAAGGTTTTCCATAATATCCAAACTCGCTGTATATTTTATTAAGTTGTTACATTTAGTTGTTACTTTCCTTTTAACTCTTTAGTAGCAATTTTTAGTAAGCATATCATTAAGACCTCTTATCTATTTAATTTGCAATTTAAATAGAAATTCTGTAAGTTGATTTTAAGGCTGACTGTTTTCCTCGTGGGATCAATACTAGGTCTTTTAAGGAAAACCCTATATTACTTGAAACAATACGTATACTTGCCTAGCACCCTTAGTGTAAAAAATATTATATAATTCATAAATTATTACATTTGTTCACACTAGCCGTTAGATATAATTTGAGACATATTTTCTGGCAAAATTTTGGAGATTAAAAATACACATAATTGCGGGTCAGGTCAGAGGTTGTTTAGTACATTTCTCCATGATTTAACCTAATCCTACTAGACAACTAAAAATGACAAGTTTAAAACCTATTTGAACATAAATTTTATTTGTCCTCTTTTTTGCCTTAAATTCCTTATTTAGGGGTTTCTTGTTAGTAAGAATTAAATAGCAATAATCAAGATTTAACCTAAATTCTATCAATCAACAAAAAATAACAAAATAAAGCCTTAAAGGATCTTAAGTCCCATTTCCCCTCCATGTTGTCTTAAATTTCATATATTGTCTTAACAACAATAATGGCGACTTCAAACCTTGCAGAATCTTAAATCCCAATTTTTTTCCTCTTTGCCTTAAATATCAGTTATAATAAATTAAATTTGAAGAGGATTTATAGGATTAAAGAAAGCTAAATCACATGAAGTGAGGCATGAGGAAGGATGAGAAATATGAGGGTTAATCAAGTAGGACTTAAGAGCAAAGTGGAAAGGGGTGATATACTAGAGACTAGAGTTGCCTTCATTACTTACACAACATGATTTTGTTGTTACCTTTGTTCTTGTACAACTTATCAACTCAGGTTTTCATATTTTTTGGGTGAAACCAAAAGAGTTGATACTACAAGAGGCCATAGGGAAAGTGTGGTTTGTAGTGTTTAAAGTTACTTTAAAGGGAATTTCATATATGTCACATAAGTCTTAGGATTCTCACGTTTAACACATAAACTTTATTAAAATAAATGTAGAATTATTAATTTTATATTAATAAAATAAATATATAATTAATAATTAAACTAAAAATATTATTAGTATAGCAATATATTACTATTAAATATATATTTAAAAAAATTAATTAATTAATTAAATTTTATTTTATTAATATATTATATATAATATGAGTTATCATCGAGCATAATATTGAGTATTTAACAAGTTTTTGTTGAACAATAAACGAGTTTATTCGTGAACAAAAATGAACAAGTTTAACTATGTTTTTGTTTAGTTTATTTAAGCTTCAACCTTTTAAAAATTGTCCCACCTTATTTAATTACTTATTGAATGTCATGATCGAGCCTTAATCATGCTGAGTTTGAGTTGTTCATTGAGTGCATTGGTTCATTTATATCCCTAGTTGTTGGGTCAGTTGAGCAGCGGGTTGGTTTAACTGCAATTATTGGGTCATTCTTTACTTATTAATTTTCTTCCTTCATCTCCTTGCTAACTTTCCACTGGATGAGGAAGCTTCAACAACAAACTTGTCTGGTGCATAAAGCTCGATAAATAAAGTGTGAGGTTTGAGGACAAGCGATACAAAGACTTTTGTTTAGTTGTAATCCCTTTAATGTTTGAGGGGCTTCAACAGAAGCGAACGTAATAAGTACAAAGTCTCTTATTTGAAGAGCCTTGTCAACAACAACATTGATTACTTTTGATTTTTATACGGGATAGTGAGCACAACTTGTAGATAAATTTACAAAATGAGGCCTTACATCATTACCTCGAGCAAATATGCCATGGATTGATACGACATTGAACTTTTTTATTAAGATTCATATATCACTTTAATGCTCACCAAACAAAGTTTATCTTTCTTTAGGGACCATTCAATAGTAGATTCTTAGATTGAAAACTAAGTCATACATTAATGCTCACCATATAAATTTTTTTTGTTATGTTGGGACCTTTAAGTAGTAGATTCTTAAATTAAAGATCTAAGAATCATGCCCCAATGCTTACTAGATAGAATTTACTCATGTTTATGAGTAATTGTAATAAAGGAATACAATTCAATATTTCATTTTTCTTTAATATTTTTGTGACGCATATATATCAAAAATAAATATAACTAGTCATCAATTCCAGACTCATTTGGTGAGCACTTAAAGATATGAGGTTTCAAATAAGTGCATGCCTCTATGGCTAATTACCCTTTCTGATCGTAGGAGAACAAATTTGATTAAGGCTAGTCATTAGGCACTAAATTTCAAACTTAGAGAATAACAACATCAAATTGAATATTTGAAGTTTATGAAATTATCACTGTGAACTAAAGAGTATATATTGAAAGAAAATGATGACAAACCTGATCAAGATCCTATGGCTTCGCCATCTTAGGGTATCCTGTTCCATCGGTCTAGTTAGCCAAATGAGGTGGTCAACCCAAATTGATCAAATGATCATTGTCAGCAACTACGGGTTGATTCGTCCGATGGAACCTTGTAGACCGGATGTGGATATTTATTTAAGTGAACTAAAATAAGTCAACGTTAGCTTACAGAGGGATTTGTCCTCTATCAAATATATCATATGATTCATAACTCAAAAGTGCAAAATATCATTAGCGACCATACGAGTTGTAGCCATGGCCTTTTTTAAGTGAATCCTATTGGCTAAACCACTT